AAATTTACGAAAAAAATAATGCACAAAAATAGCCCAAATAATTCTACTAAAAACTAAGGGAAACAAAAGAATGAGAGAGCGAACAAGAACTGCTTGATAACAAAAAGAAGAGAGGTCCGAGGGTCTTGAATTTTATAATTTGATTTATTTTTTGTTTTCTACTCAAAGAGGGAGTTGAAACCACCCTGAATCGTCCCAGGCTTTTTGTGAGTTTCATAGCCTTGGTCTCTAGCTTTATCGTGTTTTTCAGTTACGAAAAAATATTTATTTCAAATAAAATTAGTTTCTGATGAAGAGTTTATACTTGGCATTGAGTCTAACGTACAAATGAACAATTGGAATCGCATTTGTTTCAATGTAGACTTGTTGTGGCCTTGTTTTTCTCTCCTAGAGAGCTCGATGTGACTGACATCATGCCGTCCTCACGGGGCAATGCGGGCGAACATGTAGCCGATAGTTTCAGTCGTGTTGTTAAAAGGGGGGCTCTGATAAAACTAGTCTGAATTTCAGTGGCAGTTGATTATAAGGAGTCTAAATTTATCTCATCAATTTCAGGTGAATACTTCTCATTAAGTGCTTTTACCGCAATATTTGGTGGAGAACTCAAGTAAAAATGACCGAGCAGAACTTAACTTTAATACAATTGGACTGCGCTAAGCAGCTATGCGCTATGCAAAATCGACAAAAATTCTGCCGTGCTCGGGAAGAACGCCGTATGAACCTTCAGGCGTTGCCAAATTTCCTTTGATACAACACGAATTTCCTGCTAAACTCATAAATATTTTCCTTCCAGTTTTTCAGATAATTTTGTTCGTAATTTCACCTAGAGTCCCATAAAATTTCAAGGAAAAATGTTCATAACTTTCCTCAAAAATACATGTTTTATTTGGGGAAATTTGGCAAATTCGAATATTCATACGGCGTTCTTCCTTAGCATGGCAGAATGGCTCTCCTACTGTTTTTACTCAGTCTTTTTTGAAAGGAAATTAAACACCGTTTGCCGCTAAATTAAGTGTCAAAATGGGCCAGGTTTCGCAGAAATTAACCAATCCACATCAGCTATTGCCAAATTTAAACGAGATTTAAAACTTTTGAAACCGTCAGCTCAGCAATTCTCTTGTGGAAAGTGAATTTATTACTTTAAAAACTTATTTGTCAGATCGTACCAAATGTTTATAAGAAATTTTTATTGTCTTTCCGAGAGAGGTCTGATCGTCTCAGTGTGACACCCGATTCTGTCGTAAGCGTTTATCTGTTCCTGTGCACTCGTTAAAATGATGTGTAACGCCATTACGCCCTCCCGTAATGGCTCGCACGAGATCGTAGCTGTGGCATGAAGAGTTCATTTTCCTGTATTTATTTGTCTGATTCGAAAGATTACGTGAATAAAACACAACAAAGACGCTTCGAAGTTGTAAACCTCTACAACGATCACATACATGCATAAAGGTACGAGAACATGTAATATTCAAACGTATAATACACTTTTAGACATTACTAGCTACTTCAGCTCACTTCGTTCGCCATTGGCGGATCCAGCAACTTGGCAACGTTGTTTTCTCTCCATTTAAACCTATGGAAATGTATCGATTCTTGGAGGGGCCAGGTGCTCGGAAAGAATCGATTATTTAACATAGGTTTAAATGAAGGAAACCCGGTGTTGCCAAATTGCTGGATCCGCCTCTGTCGTTCGCCTTCGCGCCTAGTCGCCCCTGATGACTTGCTTCGCGAGTGTACGGAAAACTTTCAAGAGCGAATATTAAAAGTTCCGGATTTTTGGATCATCTTGACACGAACAGCTTTCGTTCGTAACAAAAATCTAGGAAATCGGCCTGGCGGTTCCTCAAAATTAAGGCTCACAAGGTTTCGACCGTTACAGTTTTATTTATATAGAAAACGTGCATGGTAGGGGGAAGGGTGGAAGCTTATCGTCCCTCAACATTTTCTACCCGAAATTTTCTATTATTGGCTGTATTGCGTTAAGTCGCGACGCTCAAGTAATGTCATGAAATAGTCATGAAGTAATTCGCAGAGAGATTTGATAAACACCCGATTTTTTTAAAATTCGACACAAGCGTGTCAAATGTAAAAAAGATACGAAAACTTCTCCAGAGCTCGAGCGCAGTTGCAGATATTGACACGCGGTTTGGGAGAAGCTTCCTCAAATAAAACTGAGCAAAGCTTCGGGGGAGGGAAGGGGGAGGCTCATGACCCCGTCGACGCCCCAGAAAGCGGAAGACGGCGGAACTGTCCAAGTGTTGGAAAGGACACTATTTGGCTCAAACCGCAGGTCACTATCATCGTTTCAAAATGGCGGCCGGGTGAAATTCAAATACGGCGGAAAATTAAAAGCTCGGTTATTTACTGGCGAATTAGGATGAAACATGGTATCCGCGGGTTTTTCAGGAGAACTAATGACACTTGTCCTTAAAATGAGCCAGAAATTGTGCTCTTTTAATGCAGGATGCATAGGTCGTACTTTCAGGAATCCTAGAACTGCAAAGTCTGTCGGACTATTTGTTAAACGCAAATATTTTCTCTACCTACTTTTTTTTTACTTTTTTAAATTGTTTTCCGAAGAAAAGCTCACTCTTCAGAGGAACAACTACTCACAGTTTGGGCCAAAAAACAGTTTCTCTTGATTGAATATGAACAAAAATGCATGAAAATTGGCACCTCTATGTTCTCTCATGCACTGAACATGCACTCATGCATTTCGTCGTCTCTCTGACGAGGGCGTATCTCAATTTCCACGTAAGCCCTGCTCTCCATATAAGTCCATACTTTTCAGAGATCACGTGGAAATACAGATACGCCCTTACGTCAGAGGGGCGACGATTTCTGACATCAACTAAACCAAAATCATAGTTAACGGGGGTTTTGGACGAGGGGCTATTACTCCGAAGGAAATTACTAGGGAGGCTCATAATTAATTACACTTTTTTCTATCAAAGAGAACTATGTGCAGAGGGAAAGATGGGGGTGTGCTCGTCCGTGCTCGGGCCTTAAGAATGAACAGGAATTATAAAGCGCCAATGACGTAGCCGCCGCTGCACTCCTCCCGCACGAGTCCCTTAAACTCATGAGCCCTGTCCACAAGGCTCTAGATACATGCCCACGGCTAATACACAATGCACATAGTTCCGTTTGACAGAACGTGAAATCCGGCTTCTCCAATGCAGCAAACGGAACTGTGAGCCAACTAAGTGCGGCACCCATAAGCCGTGCGCATGCGTCTAGAGCGTTGTGGACAGGGCTCATGAGCTAGTGGGGCTCATGCGGGAGAACTACGGTGGCGGCTACGTCACTGGCACTTTATATTTCCCGTTCATTAATCTAATGGCCCGAGCTCAAACGAGCACACCCCATCTTTTCCCCTGCACATGGTTTCTGTTTGACCGAAATACGTTCAAATTTGCCACTAAAAGAGCAAACTCGATCTAAAAAACGATTTCGAGGCTTTCGAACTCGCTTGGGAAGGAGCGAAAGCTCCAGGATGGGTGAGTGGACCCAGACCCTGGGCAAGAGTCGGCTAAGCCCTCGCGAAGGGATTTTTAGCGGGAAGACCCGAGGGCCGATGCGCTGGAGATCCTCTTCGGCCACGGCGAGGCGGCGCGGCGGCGTAAGCCGGGCAGAGATTCGATCGTCGAATCCATCTCTCGGATAAATAGCGCATAAATCATAACTCCGGATGAATACGTCTCATTTGCATTTATTTTCAGACTCGCTGCTAGGCGTCCCTGCTCCCTCTTAAATAAACAGACTCCCACACGAGAGCATCCCCGACCAATATTATTGTACCTGCATGTGGAGGATCCTCAGCGATAATTCTAAACTTTCCCAGTTTTGGGATGGTTCGTTGAATTTTTAGCGCGAATACTAATAAAGTGGTTTCCAACACTCAAATTGGACTACATTTTGCAATTAGGAACAAAAAAGTCTAGCCCGGTTTAAAAACAACGTATGTGCCATTAGTTTCCCATTGGACATAAGTGTTTTTCTAGAAGAGCCAGAATGTATATTTCCAAATTACAAAATGCAGTCCAATTAACTGAGTTTGGACTGCAATTTGCAAAATTGAACCAACGTTTCTAGCACACCCATAAAAGCACATATTTGCATAGGGACACTGATGATGTTTCTAAAAAAAATTCGAAATTGCAGTTCAAATATGCAAAGTGTAATTCATTTTGCAATCAGAAACTATTCATTCTGGCTCATGGTTTCTATGTAACTAATGGCTTCCCATGAAAATATGCGTATTTGTGGATGAGTTGAGAGGAAATAGTAGTTCTTAATGGTAAGACGTCGTGCATAATGTACTCAATAACCGATTTCATAGATCATTAGCGGAAAGTTTATAAAATGTACACCGCGAAATACGGAGTATACTCCGGCAGGCGTAGTATAGGCAATTTGCACATCAGAGCGTATGTGTAACGGTGTCACTCTTGGAGCATATCTGCGATGTTGAAGGCGCAATGTCGGACACGCGCGGGTGTTTCTTTTTGCCCGTGATGGTGCGAATCGCGGTGTCAGCTAATTAAACAAATGAAAAGTGCTTCATTTTTACTAACATCTCTAAAACGGTTCGTCTGGTCTAAATGGTAAGCCTGCGCTTATTTTTTTTTGTTACGGTCACTTCGACCGGGTTGTTTTTTTTTTGTAAAATTTTCTTGATCTCGGAGATTTCTCTGGTAAAATTACTCCATCCACGCTGGATAATAGGGCGTACGGAAAATTTGTGTTCCACCATCGAACTCGCACACTGAAGAGCTTTCTGCACCCTTGTTATATTATTAATTCATTGTAGAAACAACATTTGTATATGTATCAAAAGTTTCCCTATGCAAATGAGTAATTTATGAATGAGCTGCGAATAGTAGGTCCATATTGTAAAAGGTGGCCCAAATTGTAGAGTTATGGACAATGTCATAAGTGTGAGTGTATGGTAAGAAGAACAAAGATAACAAAGAAGGAAAGAGGATATGCATCCTTACCTCAGTTCTGATCTCCCAGTCAGCTTATTAAAAGCAGTAGACGCTTTTGACGAAATATCATCGGGAGTTATTCCAATAGAGACGGCAAACATGTGATATTCGATCCGAGACGAAGGTAAGCACAATCACATCACTTTATTTTACTCCGCAATTTTCATGACGGTTCACAAGATTACTAAGTCGAAATTCAATTTGATCGTCGAATCACCGGTTTAAGTTCAAATCCGTCGATCCTTCCCGCAGGAGAACGCGAACTTTGAGGACGATTTTCGATGAGTTCACTCCACTTGCGATCTTTCTTAGAGGATTTTAACGGAGGTTGTTCACGGAAGAAAATCCTATGATTAGCAGCATAATCACGTGTGACTGTTCCTCAGTGGCTGGACGTTAAATTGACTGAAATTCAAAAATAGGAAAGATGTCAAATTATAGGAATCTGCTTGGGTTCATTCTATGAATTTAATTGGTAAAAAATACAAGTTAAAAGAAAGCCGAGACATTATGACTACATCGTACCAGCTCCAATTGAATCGCTAATTGGAGAAAAAGGAATAAATTCATTAGATGCAAGACACGGCGTTGCTCTTTATCATTTAGCAACTTGGCGTTTTCAGTTAACTTTATTAAAACTCAGAGAAAGAACAGTCTATTTGACGAAGTGCTCTACAAATCGGCGTTTTCTAGACGAAGGAAGTACCAAATTTTACAAAAATACGAAAATGTTACTCACAAATTGACTTTTTCTACACGAAAAATTCAGCAAAATTTTCAACAGAAAATCAGGAGCTCGGCCCTTAAGCGCTTTCATTTTTTGGGATACTTCACGCTTTGCCACGGAGTTAGTTTAGTTGCCTATCCGATGCAAACTCAATTAAGGTCTCTAAATATACTGCACGCTCCCCTGAGTGTGCCTGCTACAGTCAGGTTTTTACAGAGGACCGAGTTTCCACTTATATTATATGGTAAATAATCAGTAGTCTAATACTGTTCTTTTTTCCTGAATTATATGCTTTTTTAATTGCTCACTGGTGACTAGCAAAAAACCGGCGATTGTTAATTGCTTGAGACGGATGTAAGTACGCTCTTTCAACTGGGAAACAACGACATGTGTTCTACGAATAAAGTGTTGACAATATCACAACCAATACATATTCTGAAATGCATTGTCTTTCTCATGAACTGAGTCATTCAGTCAAGACCCAAATCCTTCCAATTGAAAACAATGTTATACACTTTCGTGATAAAATCATGACAAATTCGAATACAAACTTTATGGGTCTGCAAAATTAACGAAGTCAGTGATAAAATGTATTTTTTTCTGATAATCAGAGGAGCAATTATTCTGGGTGAAGCCTTCTGATATTTCCAAATTTCATCGACTTATGAATGAAATCCAAGTTTAGCTATTCAACGTCCTCTGGAGAATATACAGCAGAATTTCCGGTCTGCATTACAAAAAAGGTAAATTGTAATTTCGGATATAATGGGTAGAGTGCTTCATCTACCAAGATATCTAAATGATTAAAATCTGCATTGATTTTTATGACTAATAAGTTAAACGAAATTTGATTATACTCGACAGAGCTAATCCTAGTTTCCTTCATTAAGCTATTTAGGCACCCTCCCTACGAGTTGAAATATTTGTGAAGCTTGAATTATTTTGAAGTGGCAAGTTGCTGCTTCAGTTTTTGTACGTGATGAAATGGCCAGATAGCTAATTCAAATTAAGGAATGAGGAAAGCATCGTTAAATTAAACACGAGTTTACAACGCCATTACAGTATTGATATTGTTGCGAATATTTCCCCATCAAGTTTAAAAAGTAAGGAGACAAAGTATTGAAATGTAATTTGACACCTCGCTGAATGAAGTTCTAATTTTTGCAGAAAATAGTAGTTAGGCATGAAGGAACCACATTTTGTTATGATTGGATTGCGTTAAGTATAAAGGAACCAAGTCACATCAGCTATTGCCAAATTGAATCGAGCAATTTAATTTTTTACAAGAAAATGGGTCCGCGGAATTTTGTGCAAATTTCAGTGAATTTTATGCATAATACGAAGCAAATTCCTCATCATTTTCAAAGAGATTCACACATACGTTCTCTTGTAAAAAATTAAATTGCCGATAAAATTTAGTAACGGCTAATTTGGATTGGTTCCTTTCTGCTAAACGAAATCAAATGACTAAAACTGTCAAAATTTCTATCGTTCCAATTTTCCTTGTGCAGTTTTGTTGTCAGATAAAACGTCACTACGGATCTGGGTCTTCTCTTAGAAATTTTAAAACCGGCTAGTACGATACACGAAAAAAAAAAGATGGTTAAATGTAAAACATGCTGCTTTCTCATTATTTTTCTTGTTGAAAATCCTTGTTGTAAGTGAGGAAAATTGCCAAGATTGATTTTCTAGAATCACGCTTTGATAGTTTAATGAAAGATGCACGTGTGCTTACAGCTTTCTGAACTGGCAACAGTGTCAATTAGGAAAATTCTCATAACTCACGTTATCAAAGTTCCTTGTGCCCTGTGGCTTGGTTCCTTTCTGCTTAACGCAATCAAATTCAAATCGTCAAAATTTCTATCGTTCCGGATGATTAAATGTAAATAATACTTCTTTCTCATTATTTTTCGTAAGTGAGGAAAATTGCCCTGATTGATGCTCTAGAATTACGCTTAGATAGAGTCATGAAAGTTGCATTTGTCAATATGAGATGCACGTGTGCTAACAGCTTTATGAGCTGGCAACAGTGTCCATTAGGAAAATTCTCATAACTCACGTTATCAAAGTTCCTTGTGCCCGGCCGGCATGGCGGGCCCTTTGCTTCGGAAGCATTAACAACTACTGGATCATGAAAATGGGTTGTAAATTTCTTATAATCATCAGCACAGAGTTATCTTCGCTCCAGAGTTTATGCGCTTGGTCTATTTCGATTAGAGTGTGAAGCTCTCAGCACCATCACTGCCGTTCCAAGGAAGAACGCCGTATGAACATTTGATAGTCACCGAATTTCCTCCTCAAAAATGTTTTATTTTGGAGGAAAGTTATAAATATTTTTCCTAGTGATTTTCAGGAACTTTAGGTAGAAGTGCGGGGAATAAATCATCTGAGATACGGAATGAAAAAAAAATTCATAAGTCCATCGGGAAATCGTTTTACATTAAAGTTAATTTGGCAACGCCTGAACGTTCATACGGGGTGCTTCCTTAGAACGGCAGAACTGTGAAACGTTAAGGAATCATCAAGCTCTGAAGCCATCTCTTTTTTTTGTAAATTTTCCGGTACAAATTTTAGGAAAAGCTATCTCAGCTTTAGTCTACCGATTGAAAAGGAAAACGGTGCGATATAATTTTGACGTTGCTAAATTTTCCTGATTAAATACGACTTTTATGTGGTACTCGTGATTTTTTCTTTGAATTGATTTGAGGCCTTTACTCGTAGAATCGGGTTTATTTGGCAATTTCAAGGAAAATAGTATATCGTTAATTTTTTTTATAATAAATCATTATCCTCAGCATTGCAGATCACCAAGCACTGAGGGCAAAATCGTTAAAATAGGGAAAATGGCTTCAGTCAGCATTTTACTACGTGTAAATATTGAATCGTGATAAGATCAAAACAAAGAAACTTGCTGGCACGAAAATGGATACCAATCTATGTGGCTGTGGAGCATAAAGCTATTTGCATTTGTATTTGCATTGCTTTGAGCATGTTCGTACAAACAAATTTTTATGTCGTGATTTCATCACGATTCAAAATTGTTTTGGCGCCGTGAGCCTGATTCTCTCTGGATGGGTAAATTAACAAAAATTAAATAAAATAATTTCCAATATATAACGTAAGTTTGGATGGTTAACAGAAATATACGAAAAGAATAAGGTGAAGGGGGGATGTTTTGATATTTATCCTGTATTTGCTTCTTTTTATGTTATATGCATCATAAAAAGGGGAGAACAATATCTGAATAAATAGTTAAAAATTGGAAATAAATTGGAGGATTTTATTGTTTGCCGAACTAACACATTTAACACATGCTTATGCACGAACTTAACACATGCTTTGATTTGAGAAAATTAAAAGTTACTATCTCATGTCGCACTCTTGAACTGCTCGCTATAGACTCAAAGTATGGAGAGCACTGATTCTTGGCTCTAGGTGCTGTATTTGGATCAGCTGCGCGGGGGAAACTACCGTAAATGAACCTCAAAGAAAAAGTCAAAGAGAATAAAATATATTCAAATCGTCGAGCCTCCAATTATATCCATTTTCAGGGATAGCACTGCAATTAAACTCAAAACTTCCAAAATTTTAATGAATAAAGAATATAGTTTTTCTCTCCAAGTTTATCATGTTTTATATTAAAATGCCGTCTGTGTAGTTATTCACGATCCAGTAAATAATGAGCAGAAAGTGCGATTCACAATGAATTGTGGAGATTTTATAACATTGAATGAAATACTATTTTAATTATTTGAAAGTCATACATTGCTCCGCAAAATCATTGTAACTTAAAATCGGTGAAAAATTACTTCACTAAAAATTATGACGCTTGTAGAGGAACGGCAATGAAGCTTGGAGGAACTTGTTCAGCCTAATCCATAATTTTACGGTAATCTAATCACATCTCCCGCAAAAGATACAGGTTAAATTGTTAATGTGAGTGTTTTTTTTTAAATTACTTGAGGCCAGAATTAAAATTTAGCTGGATGCGCAAACATACCGATTTTTTTATTGGGCTCGCAGAAAAAATAATGGAACTGCACTCAAAATCAGTCCGTTTACCATAATTTTCCCTGTGTTAAACGCTCTTAAACAGATTAGGTTTCGGCGTGAAAGAACGAGAAAAATCGGTAAATGAAATTATTATGGTTAGAAGCGTTCAAGAGAAGAAAAAATAATTTCAACGTTCCCTGGTTTTTATTTAGTATCCCCTAGCCGTTTTGGAGAGGAGAGAAGCTTTAAGACGAAAGTTTCCTCCGTTTTGAAATAAAGCGAAACGCGAGGAAAGAAAAACGAGGAAAGTTGCTCATGAAGGCGAAGTAATTATTCTTTGTCGCGAACTTGCAAAAAATAATTTCATTGAAGAAACTGGAGCAACAAAGGGTATTCCTACGGAGGGAACGCTTAATGAATTATATCTTTTTCTACGTGTATATTGTCTCAAGTGCGTTGCAAGTACCTATTCAAATGCCTACGCAAACATCTCGGGTTAAAACTCGCACCGTAAGGTGTCGATGGTCGATATCTCGCGGTAGATAGTGAGAAAGAAGCAGGGGAATACTACGTAAGTAACGATGTAACATAATGAAACCCTGATCTGCCTCTTTGTACTGCCACCCTCATTGCTAATTCCCTAAACGGGCTCTCATCATTTAATTACTTGGATTAAGGTCCTGTAACATCATGGAAAAAAATTAGATGTAATCTTGCTCCAACGAACCTTTCTAATTTGAGATAAACGTCCTGATACACGGTGGGTTTAATACGTTGTGAACTCACCTGAAATTTCCAAAGCATACTCCTTCCCTTATATATAATAACTAGGCAAATTCTAAGAAGAATCTTCTATTTTAAGATTGTTTTTTATTACAGTTAGCTCACCTGTTTTAGGGGGTGTAATAGGATTAAATAATTGTGTTATTCAAAAAATAGTCGGTTAGTGTTCTATAGAATGACACTGTGTCGCCTGTTTCTCCTCTCACGAAATTAATTCAAACGTACAAAATGACAAAAAAACTGATGACTCACATCATCCTCGCCCGATGACTATGGATGTTTGATTTATATCCAGGAGGAAACAAGCGTTTAGAACATCTCAGCACCTATCTAATGAGATGCCTGTCCTCTCATGAATAAAACTGTCAGCGGACTGATTGTTGAAATTGATAGAGAGAGCGATAGACAAAGTATACATGGGGAGTATGGAACGACCCTATTGGTTGAAATGGCTGGTACCCATAGACCAAGAAAAAAGTGATGAAGTAACTATATAGGGTCGTCAAGGGTTGTCATTAGTTAGTCTAGTATCAACCTTCTGCGTCCATTGCAACCACCCTCTTCCACCAATAGGATCCGTCCAAATCCTTTTTGTCTTCTTTGGTGTATAAATTTAAACAATCTACCCGCAGTGTGGTTTTTCTTCAAAACCTTTTGATAACAACCATCTTTCGGGTGGACTTTTCGTGAAAGTCAAAAATATCTATTTCAAGGAGCGTCTTGAAATTTTAGCCTATCTTTTACAGCTTGAATGCTAATCCTTGGGTAAAGATGACAGCTACAGGGAGTCAGAATTGTTTGTGAGTTGCGCGATCTTAAAAACATATTTAACAGTTTAATTTTGATTTTTATTCTTTAGTGTTGATTTTATCCCTGACGAGCAATAATCTAGATTGTTCCAAAAATCATCCGTCTCATCATTTGGAACATTAACTTGAGGGAAAAATACCTACATCATTTTCAAATAGCAAACATGACAATAATTTTTGTATCAGAGTAAAGTTTTCCTTTAAAACATACTGGATTAGTACATTCCGTTCAGCTTCAAAAAAAGTTCAACTACATTCGGTAAGTCGTTGATAGTTCTGAACGAGAAATCATTCTATTTAAACATGCATTTAGTTTAACTAAAAGCATATAAAACTCATTATTTTCAACGAACATGAAAAAAAGAAAAAAGAAAGAAAAAAATCGATTCACCAATGTAAAGATTATTCATTTCATTAGAAGTTGGTATACTAATTTTAAGTAAAGTATAGTATATGTTAAGAATCAGCGTTAACTTTGCATTTGCAACTGATTCAAATAGACCGCGTTTAGCAGAAAAGAATCAAGCCACACCAGCTATTGCCATATTTGACCGGGCAATTTAATTTTTAAGAGTTCGTGCGGATTCCTTTGAAAATTTTAAGGAATTTGCTTTGTGCTGTACAGAAAATCCACTGAAATTTGCACAAAAATCCACACTTTCGTTTTCGTGTAAAAAATCAAAGTGCTGAATTAAATTTGGCAATAACTGATGTGGCTTAGTTCCTTTTTGCTTAACGCGATCCAGATACACTGAAAAAAAAAAGATTGTTAGAATCAACCATTCCTTCTGTATTTCACACATCGTCAATTCAGAGTCAATTCTGCCAGAATAAAGGTTTTGGCATTTGGAGTGTAGCCGAGTGCTAGAAATAATGTAAAATTTTCTTTAAAAAACTTACATTTTACTAACAAATTTAGACCAAACAAACACATTTTTGACAAATTTTCTAAATTTGTTCATAAAATGTAAGTTTTTTAAAGAAAATTTTACATTATTTCAAGCACTCGGCTACACTCCAAATACCTATTTATTCAGTGCTATTGTATTACAATGTTCGCAGATTTTGAGAATAAATGAAAACGTTACTATATACTAGTGCAGGTAACCGTTCCTCTGGCAGAATTGACTTGAAGATCGGTAGAATTTACCAATCTTTTTTTTCAGTGTAGGACTTGCTTTGTGATCCCAGAAAGATTTGACCCTCACCTCTTAAGAATGCTAACGGCCACAAGATCCGGAGGGAATATAGGAAGTCCCCACTTATGGATAAATTCGGAGCGTACACATTGAACGGACGAGAAACCGGACGAGCGTCCGGACTACGGACACGAACACGAGCACGGACACGGTTTCGGAGACGGACACGGACACGATTACGGACAGGGCGAATGTCGCGGGCAGAGGCGCGGCGTCGATGCAGCGACAGATCACCAGTTCGACTGGATCTCGATCCGACGGGCATCCTCCTCCGATAGGAACGGGCGCGGCTCCACGCGCATCCTCGCGCCTTCAGCCTCGCCGAGTAGGCAACCCGCCTCGCGCTCGGACTCACGCTCTCGCCGAGGAGAAAAGGAGCGACCGAATTATCACGGTGGGGCCGTTGCACAATTTTTTAAGTACATTTCGGGAAGGATGAATGTAATGATAGAAACATTTATCCATTTTTTTACTGCATTAAACTTAATTATGAAAAATTACGCAATTTTCATCTCGGTATCGCCGAAACCACGTCATTTTATCAGCGATTTTGCAAAAACAAAAAAACAAAAGAAAAAGTTTTTAATTGCAACCTACGTCACTGCCGTCTACAACAAAAACGTCGTAACTCAACTCTCATTTCTATCCTTTTTTCAGCACTCATTGCTCTCCGAGCAAATTCAATTGCCACAAGGCTTCATTTTTCCATTTTTAGTTCCTAATGGTGCGGCAAAGTTGCATTGAAAAAATTAAGGATGAAAATTTGTTAGGTTTTTTTATTTTGGAAAAGTGCATTTTGTAAAAAAGAAAAATTGAAAAAGTGTGGAATGGAGATACGGCGTTTTTACTTTGAACGGCAGATTAGAGTTGCATAGTGTACCCAGGAGATAGGTTTTTTTTTGTAAAATTGTTCTTTTATTTAATTTTCAATAATTTAAGCATATACATGAACTAACACTTAAATATCCCACATGTATATAATTAACTATGGAAACAATTGTAAAATTAGATAATAATATATACATTTCATGACAATAGATTTGAGAGCGAACAAAATTGGCAGGAAAAATTACAATAAGAAACTTTAAAATAATTGCCACCTTACCAATGGCAGTGCACTGATCGGCACCAATTCAGCCGACATATTATTAAAAATCCGGCGTCGATTCAATCGATTCACGAGTTTTTTTTTTTTATTTATTTATTATTATTATTATTATCATCAATTCACGTGTTTCTTTTCGATCGTTTCATTTCAATCAAATCCATACCCTCCGCTTCGTTGAATCCATACCCTACGTCTCGAAAGGGTTCATTGATCAAAATGAACTTCGTTTAGGAGCAACGTATGGACCGTTAGTTTCCTTATGCATCCAAGAGTTTTTACAGATGAGCCATGTATTGTAGTTCCGAATAGCAAAATGTAGTCCACATGATCACGCCATTACATTGCTGAGCAGCGCGGGAGTCTACGCAAAAAAGTCGCTTCACTTGCATGCTTTTATTTCGAATTATTTTTAAAAATATGTAAATAAAGGGAAGACAATTAGTTGGGTTTTATGTAATGTTTTATAATTTGAAAACACAATAATTCCAACAAACTGTACAGAAACTTGAAAATCATAAGTTGAAAACAGCTGACGCCGCAAGTTTGAATAATCGCATCAAACACAGTGCGGTCGGCGCGGAGCTGGCGCGCACGGCGCGGAACGCATAGTAGCGCCTTACAAGACCGCAGGATACTTCATGCATTGCGCGTACAGCACCGTGCGCGCCACGCACAGAACAGCGCTTTACAAGTCTGCAGGATACTTCATGCATTGCGTGTATACCATGGTGCGCGCTAAAGTCCTTGAAAAGTCGTATTTTCTTGGTGTCAAACCTACTGTAATATGTGGAAATTGTGTACACCGGGTTCACAATTTCCACACATTTTCCTAGCTCAGTGTACACAGCAGTGCACACTGCGAACTTGCAATCCTAGGATCACAGGATTAGAGAGATTTTGCAATCCTGTATGTTTTCCGGTTAAATTATCAGTTTCCCCGGCCGTTTTGAGGAGCCAGTCCGCTTCTGATCTTACAATGCAGGGATTCAGAAAGTCGGGCAATGTTAATTTTTTTTTTTTTTTTTTTTTGTTTTTTTTTTGATAAAAATAATAAAAGGAATATAATGAACGAAAACATTTGGTTGAAATTTTCTTTGTTTTGTTTGAAATCAGTTAGGCGCTTCTCATTATTTGCCCGGTTTTTACGATTAATTAAAAGGAAAATATGTATCATCGTATGTAAGGCACGCTGAAAAATTATGCAACGATCACCTCAATACCTCAGCAGACACGCAGTTTTTCCGGCGATTTTTTAATATCATAAAAAATGTTGCTTTTAATCACACTGGGAAAAAAGTCGCTTGGATCTAGAGTCCAGCCTCTTAATAACGTTGGTAAGAAAAAAGACTCTTGATTCAATCTGATTTTTCCTTGAATCGAGGAGCCGAGCCTCTTGATATAGACTGATTTCTTTTTGATTCAAGCAAAAGGTCCGATTGAATCAAGAGTATTTTTTCTTGTCAATGTATTTAAGAGTCTGGACTTTCAATCCAAGCGAATTTTTTTTCTAATGCACCTCAAAATCGCGGCATAAACGCAATTTTTCCAGCGATTGTGAGGGAACATAAAACATCACGTAATTTTCACCTTAGTTTGGCGGAAAATACGCAATTCTGGCTCGAAGAGCATATCATTCATCAACTCTAGTAATTTAAGATAAGCAAAAATCTAATATTTCCTTCCCTTTCGCGTGCTACCACATCACATACCCACTCTGGAGTCGGAATTTTGCGCGCTTGATTTTCGCATTTCACGCCGATTTCTTTAAAAAGCTTGAATTTGTAAGTATCAATAATATGAGACAGGTAAAGAACGAATATTTTCCATCAGTTTTGCGTGATACCACATCACATACCTAATATGGAGTCGGAATGGTTGCGTATTTGATTGCAACATTTCAGGATGTGAGTATAGTGCCTACATTCATAAGTGCCAATGATATGAGACAAGTGAAAATCTAAGATTTTCTTTCATATTTGCCTGATACCACCTCACATACCTAATATGGAGTCGGAATGGTTGCGTGTTTCATTGCAACATTTCAGGATGTGAGTATAATGCTCACAATCATAAGCGCCAATGATATGAGACAAGTGAAAAGCTATGAATTTCCTTCATATTTGAGTGATACCACATCATATACCTAATCCTTAATTCAAATAGTTGTGCGCTGAATTTCCAAATTTCACGATGGAAGTAAAATACCTACATACATAAGCGTCAGTAAATTGGGATAAATGAAAAACTGCTATCTTCCTTCATAATCGCGTGTTACCACATCAAATACCCACTCCAGAGTCCTAGTGGTTGCTTACCTTGATTTCAGTGCGAAACGATGCGAGCATTATGCTAACAAGCGTCAGTAATATGTCACATGTGAAATTTGAGATTTTCCTTCATTTTGGCGAGATAACACACACTCACTTCGGAGTTTGACTTGAATAGTTGCGCGCTTGATTCGCTCTTTCAAATGTGCGAGCATAATGTCTGTGCATTCATCATTCATGCAGCGGTTCCGAGAAAAAGTGAGAAAATACGCGATGTATATTATCACCTTGATATCGCTAGAAATGCGCTGTTTTCTAACGAATTCGTTATATTGCAAATGCACGTTGTATTTTCGCGGGAATAATTACTCGATTTTTTTAGAATACTTTTTAGAAAAGTGAGAAATGGAGAATTTTTACACAATAATTTTATTGCTTTATGAGAGTGCCTAATGAGCTGAGTTTGCAGTATTTTTCATACTTTTTTTCTGACGTTGAATTTTGGAGAAAAATAGATTTAAAAGTGAGAAAATGCGCCGCCTCATGAGGTCACCTGGCGGCATTTTCCATTCGAACACGTGTATTTTAGCAGATTAAGTTACTTTGTCAAATTGTGTTCAATAATTGTTCAATTTAGAAACAAGGATATCCTTGTACTCAATTTCTCTAACAGTATCATTTTAAACATGAAATGTTCAAAATTTCGGACACCTGAAAATTCTCGATTACATGATTATCACCTCAATATCGGGGCAACGAGGACGTCATATATTAAAACGCACGATCCGATTCATGTATTTGAAATATCCTCTTGGGACCTAAATAAAGCTATATCCGTGTTAGTTATTATCCTAAAGTTAGTTATTTAATTATTCAATAGTTCTGATTGTTGTTAAATGTAAGCAACAGCACGTATTATTATTACATTCGGTCTCCGAATGATTCTCGAATTCGAATGGTTTCAATGACGGGGCGCTTCGCAAAAATGAATGGCGAAATAATAAGATGAAATGTTCAAAATTTCGGACACCTGCAAATTCTCGATTACATGATTATCACCTCAATATCGGGGCAACGAGGACATCATATGGACGTAGTTCTACCAAACAGACCTATGTGGCGATGAGAAATGTGGGGTGTGCTCTAGGAAGCTGGATAAGAAGCAATGTGGTCAGTGGGTGTGGTTCCTTTTGAAGAATTGGAAAAGCGGGATGTTGCATTCTATCAAAGAGACCTATGTGCAACTGAATGCGGAATTCATGAGCCACGGGCATGGCAAGAGAGCCTTGTGCACAGGGCTCACGAGTTAAAGCGCCCCGACGACGATCTCCCCGCCGTTAGAGTGCGCACTCTCATTGCCGCTGACGTCACTGGCGCACAATTATTCCCATTCACTCGCCACGCAAAGAGAACTAACGAGCACACCCCACATTTCTCACTTCCACATAGGTCTGTTTGGTAGAAATACGTCTATATATTAAAACGCACGATCCGATTCATGTATTTGAGATATCCTCTTGGGACCTAAATAAAGCTATATCATTTTGATCCTAAAGTTAGTTACTTAATTATTCAATAGTTCTGATTGTTGTTAAATGTAAGCAACATCACGTATTATTATTACATTAGGTCTCTGAATGATCCTTGAATTCGAATGGTTTCAATGACGGAGCGCTTCGCAAAAATGAATGGCGAAAATAATCCAGCGTCGCCGTCACGGCAACGAGTGTCGCATGCTAAACAGCAATATCTCCTAACACGATGTGGACGGAAGTTGAGTAGCCTTTATTCCCGCGTGAAATAGATCGGGCACACCGTATCGATGCTCGGCGGAAAGCCAAGGTCCCCTACTC